TGAACTAATAGATTCTACAAAGCGGAAGAATAGGAAGAGAATGATGAAAAAGGGGTCCCTATGTCCTCCAGCAGTCTAAGCCTATAGCAGCATAACTATAGAGATAGCTCAGGATAACCTGAGCCACTCTAACTAGAAGCTTTATCAAAAAGGAAAGTTTTAATCATAACTACAAATCAAACCATTCAGATATGTTTAAGATTAAAAGGGAACTTCCAAAAAAAAAAAAGAAGAAAAAAAAGTGAAAAAGGATCTATTTGCTTTTGGTGACAGTGATTTGACCAATTTAAATCTAAATAAGGTTTTTTGTTACCCTTCTGGTTTACCAGGCATAGCTAACAGCTGTGTTTGTCTTCATGTGCAGCCTTTTCTTAAGTGCACTATTTTTCATTCATGCCTTAATATTATCTATAAAATGGTATTCTGTGTAAAATCAAAAATGCATTTATGGGTTTTGAGACTCGCTGAATGTTTTTGGAAAATTAGTTGCAATGTCATGAAATTAATAACAATTTAATGATACAAAAAAAATCCGATCCATTTTCTGCTGCTCAGTCCTTGTCAGGGTCACAGTGATTCGGCAGTCTTGTGGTGAGAGGCGGGTCACCCTGGACAGCTCACCAGTCTGTGGGAGGGCAACACAGAGACACATAACCATGCACACACACACTCACACCTAAGAACAATTTAGGGAGGCCAGTTAACCTAACAGTCATGTTTTTGGACTGTGGGAGGAAGCCGGAGTACCCGGAGAGAACCCACGAATGCTCAAGGAGAACAAGGAAACTCCATGCAGTAAGACCACGGGCTGGGAATCAAATCCAGAACCTTCTTGCTGCAAAGCAACAGTGCTACAAACTGCCTCACTGTGCATCAAGCACAAATCTAATGCGTTTTATTTTCTAAGAAAAAAATAATAAAAATCAGGAAAAGGATAAAACAAACATGTAAAATCTGGACAAAAAAAAGCAAAGGAAGTTGCAAATACAAATGCTAATAATAAATAAATAAAAGCCAAAACTTGGCACTGAATAGAGTCTCCATGACCGTTACCATAGCAACACATATCTAGTTCAACCATGAGCAGTATGTGAATAAAGCAGTGGTTCTGATGGTGTTGATTCTGTCCTCTCTGCTGCTCTTATCTCCTTAGAACACGTCTGCAGAAAACATGAAGCACATTCTCAGTTTCCAGCTTGAGACGCGTTATTCAGACTGATTATAATGAGAAACATTTGTTTAAATCCTAAACGCAGAATGCATGGCAAAAAAAAAAGATATCAGAAGAAAAACAAAGCAAAGTGCTTCCTTCTGCTGGTGTTTTATTCCTCCAAATGGTGTCTGTATGTTTGAACCTGGAACAGCTGATTTATCTGTTAGTCACAGCTGCCTTCATTACCATGAACTCTCACTCTGAAGCTAACTTAGCATTAGCCTGACAGCCTGCAGTGCAGGCGATGATTAATCCTCCAGAAATAGCTCCAACTAACGCATGAATTCTCTCTGTTTGAGCAACAGCAATTACAAACTGATGCAGGTGTTATTTTTCTCATTAGGGGTGCTATGTGAATAATTAACAAGGTGACTTTATATTCTTTAATATTTAATCCAATTACTCTCCGGCTGTCATGTGTTATTCTGTGAACAAACATCCGATGGCTGTTAGAACAGAGACAATGGTAATTCTGGCTCTAATCATCAAAAAGAATTTCCTTCTTTCATCTGAGGAATATTGCAAAAATGAGAAATCTCCTGTCCAGGGGTGATGCTGAGAAA